GAGATGGAAAAAATACGTGATAAACCTTTTATGGTCTTTGTACTTGGAGAGAAGTGTCACTTACTGGCTGTATTTACATGCACAAACCTTCATTAGCCTCAATCAATTTAATTATCCTACAACAAATTTCACTAAAGAATTGGATTAGACAAAATCATGTGCATTACTTGGTTTCCACTGAATTCTTGTAACAAACTTTGTTCATGCATAATGGCAGAGAATAGTTTTATTTGCTAATTATTTTTCAATCCAACAGCAAAAGTGGTTTCATTCAGAAAAAAAACATGTACATAGCAAACAGTCACATTTAAAATTACCATTGTAATTTAAAGGTTTGCTTGCCAAGGGTTTGATTCCCAATCCAAATGTTATTTGCGTTGACAATACAATAGCTAGAGCAAACGAAATGTTGACACAAGTCCATCCTTAATTGGTTATGCCAGGGTTTTTCCCAGTCGTGAAATTTGTGCTACTTGAAACAAACACATTTTGTATTATTCTCGCTATCTTAATCATGTTATTTAAAATAAAAGGTTAACATTAAATGTATTTAACTACATGACTAGTGCATGAGCGTCACTTGTGGTCTGACGTTAGCCAGATTTCTGTCAAAAAGCAGAGATGGTACAAAATCTGATGGAGGTAACCACCTTGTAGTTCTTTATATGCAGGAAAAACCCTGGTTATACTGAACTATTGTGCGTCGAATCTAGAGCATGTTCACAAATAGGCATGGGCCAGTATAAGATTCTGACAGTTTTATAACCTTGGATTGAAATATCACGGTATTGAGATTACTGCTCTAAAATATGTTCTTTTAAAATGTCTGATTAATAAACTAAAACTTTTTTTCCACATTGAACACAATATATTTTACTTTAAGAAACATTTAAAATATTTTGAAGCAGTAAACATGTCAGGCTAAATAATTAAAATGAATCGTTGACTTCTGCTGTCTTCATTAGTTTCAAAAACACTGATTTCTTTGCAATTTAAAACGGCATCTTTAGATACATTTTCTGCTGGAGATACTGTTTTCCTAAAAAACAACAAAAAAAAGAAAACGTTAATAAAAAATAAAAAAAATCTTACCCATACCTTAGCAGAACATTTTGGCGATTTTAGGACCTTTTCCAAACTGCGGTATACCTTGAAAATGGTTACAGTCCCATTCAAAAAATTAGTTCTTATGAACTCTGCTTTTAAATTTACGCCATTTTGGTGGTTTGTCAAAAACAACTATTAAAGAAGAAAAGGTTACGGTCTCTTTGAAAACAATTTAAAAAGATGATTTTATGAGAATGATGTTGTGCACTACCATATTCTGTCTTTGATCTATAGGCATGCATGAGTACTTGACAACCAAAAGAACAACACAGCTTACAAAAACTGTGTATACCTGAATGCACATGTACACAGATGCGTAGTCTCTCTATACGAAGTGGCATGGGCAACAACTGGTCTAGCATGTATATTAAGGCTGCACGACATTGGAAAAAAAACTGACGTGATGTTTTTTTATTTATCTGCCATAAATATTATATGAATATAATTTCTCACATAATATTCATTGAACACTTTTTATAAATTCAAGAGCCTAAATGGTTCAAATTCATTTGAAATCATACAAAAAACACAGAAATTTAAAAAATGTCATTCTTTTAGGATTAAACGTCACTAATTCTACTCATAATATTAATGGACAGAATTTCAAGACGTAGCCTGGGGCTGGATGGTGTCCGGTTCGGGGACCACAGGATCTCATCTCTGTTATTCGCAGACGATGTTGTTCTGTTGGCTTCATCAAACACGGATCTTCAGCATGCACTGGGGTGGTTTGCCACCGAGTGTGACACGGCTGGGATTAGAATCAGCACCTCAAAGTCCGAGGCCATGGTGCTACACCGGAAAGAGGTGGTTTGTCATCTCCAGGTTGGAGGAAAGTCCTTACCCTAAGTGGAGGAGTTCAAGTATCTTTTGGTCTTGTTCACGAGTGAGGGAAGGATAGAACGTGAGATTGACAGGCGGATCGATGCAGAGGCAGCAGTAATGTGGTCGATGTACTGGTCTGTTGTGGTAAAGAAGGAGCTGAGCCGAAAATCAAAGCTCTCGATTTACCAGTCAATCTACTTTCCTACTCTCACCTATGTTCATGATCTATGGGTCATGATCGAAAGGACAAGATCTTGGATACAAGTGGCTGAAATGAGTTTTATTTGCAGGGTGGCAGGGCGCACACTTATAGACGGGTGAGGAGCTCTGTCACCCTGGAGGAGCTCAGAGTAGAGCCGGTTCTCCTCCACATCGAGAGAAGTCAGCTGAGGTGGCTTGGGCACCGGTTTCCTATGCCTCCTGAACGCCTACCTAGGGAGAGGAGGCCTCGGGAAAGACCCAGGACACGCTGGAGGGACTAGGGAAGAAGTAACTAAAGAGAGGGAAGTCTGGGGTTCTCTCCTAAGACTGCTGCCCCCGACTCCGGGAAAGTAATTGAAAATGAATGAATGAATGCTGAAACGATATATTGTGCAGCCTTAATGCATATTACACGTTTCATTTTATTGGATCCATGTTAATGGATTATTTTCACAATGTATAAAATGCATCAATGCATGAAACTTAAGAAAAGAAAAAGCTTTCTAATTTAGATCCATTGTCGTCAAGTAAATGCACCCCTAAACCTAAAAAGAGACCAGAGGAAATGTTGATTCTGTTAGACAAAACCTCACAAGAATTTTCCATCAAGTTCAAGAAGAAAACTACTCTGCAGATCCCTATAAAACATTCTGTGAAATGTCTGTGAACAGCCTACAAATAAGCCATCTTTGAAGGTAGCACTACTGATGAAAGAACAAGTTCAATTTTTTAAAACACCTTCTGTTTCACTTCATCCAACCGTTTCTGAATTAAAAATGTGTCCCGCATTAAAGCCGTTTGCGATTCCCATTGAAATAAACTAGCATTGCACCGCAAGTGCGGAGACTAATTCAGTTTGACAAGACTTCACAAAAAGACTTTTTCCACCAAGCACCAACAAAAAAAGATCCACAGAACTCTATAAAGCATTGTGATTAGTCAGTTTACAAGCAGACTATCTTTAAGAGAGGACTTGTGGCTTGGCTTTAAACTCTGCGCGTCTGAAACCTCAGCGAAATGTGTTTCAAATAAACAAAAACTTATTTTCAGTGCGCAGCCATGATTAGTAACCCGAAACTGGCCACATGTACAAAGCACCATTCAAACCCTATCTAGATTGCTTTAAAATCACTGACAAGACAAAGACTAAACAGCATACACCATTGGGTTTTCAAGAATCCCGGCTGCAACCATAACCTGAACAATAAATACATCTGATTGTTGTTTAAAGAATCCCTTTTATCTGCTTTTCATGTTGGCATCAATTGAGAACTGAGTATTTTAGCTAAATAAGGACGAAAATCTTGCCTCTCAAGCCCTATTTGGTGTTACAGAGGTGTCGTTTTACAAATTCACCTCACAGCAATTTCAGTGGCAGCAGCTGAGGGAACAGATCTTCATTTGAGTCAGCCAAAAATTCCCTTTCATCATTCCCAATAGGTAAAAGGTTCCCAAATGTCTGAGCATGACCCTGTCATTACCATCAACAATCAATCATCATTTAGCCTCTATGCTCTTATCTACGGCTCTTCTCTAAGGTGAGGTTAAGAGCATACTCGTGCCTTCTTCTGCAGCATATGGATGAATGAGGGTGCTCTTCTTTTCCACAAACACAGTATCTAAATCTGGTGTATAGATCAATTCTTGAAGTCTACCAGAATTGTCACCTGAAAATAATGATTATGTCATTATTTACTCACTCTATACTTGATCTAAATCAGTTTAGAGTTTTATTCTGATGAACAAAATACATTTATATTGAAGAATATTAAAAACATATGAAGAGTTCAGATATAAAAACCTCTAAATGTCATCTCAAGTGTTCTTCTATGCTGTTATTTGACTTTAAAGGCAATGGAAATCACCCATTTATCACCATAACGGTGAAACATCTGAAACTACACAGGAAAAAAAATAGAAAATTGTTCATTTTAGAAGATTTCTGATGGCATTTCGCATCTGAACTCCTCATATAACCATTGACTTCCATACTATGCGTTTATCCTACTATAGAAGTCAAATGGTTACAGGTTTCCAACATTCTTCAACATATCTTCTTCTGCGCTTAAAAAAAAAACCCTGAAACTGGTTTGGAACTAGTAAGAATAAATAATTTTTAATTTTTGGTTGAATATTTACTTGCATTTAAAGGTGCTACACCAAGTGAGTTACTAAACGTATATATTAAAGAATATTAAAAACATATGAAGAGTTCAGATGCAAAAACCTCTAAAAGCTATCTCAAGTGTTCTTCTAAAATGAGCATTTTTCTTCATCTCTTATGTTTATATGATTTTGTTTGTCTTTAAATGCAATGAATATAACCTATTCATCACCATAACACTGAAATATTTTAAACTACACAGGAAAAAAATCCAAAAAGTGCTGAATTTAGAAGATTTATCATGGCATTTGGAGACTTTAGCTTCTGAACTCCTCATATAACCATTGACTTAAATATGAAGTCAAATGGTTAGAGGTTTCCAACATTCTTCAACATATCTTCTTCTGCGCTTAAAAAAAAACCCTGAAATTGGTTTGGAACAAGTATAAATAAATGATTTTTCATTTTTAGGTTAACGTTTACTCAATTACTTAAAGGTACTACACCATGTGTGTTACTAAACATCAAGTAAATGAATGGCCCAAAGAACAATTAAACCTTTAAGCTTTTACCAAACACTTAAAACACAGAAACACAGCCACCAGGCTACAGAATCCTGCAGAATTAGAATAGAAATCAATACTAATGAGCTGGCAGGAAGAACTGCGAATGGTTACACTGGTTAAATGAGCTGGCACAAACAAACGCATATGATTTACACCGGTTAAACGTTGTAATTTGCAGGGATTTCGGCGTAACTTACCTTTATCCGCACCGCCGAACCGGAGAAAGATGAGACTTGTGAAAAACACGAGCAGCCGTTGCTCCCGCTCCGCCATCACTTTCCGAGGTAAAAAAGAAAATAGAAAAAAACAACCTCGCGTACAAGTTATCCACGGTGTTTTCCGAGGTGAAGTTTTTTTTAACAGACTAGTTACAAAAGACGAGGTGTTTCGTTAAAAAACGCCGAACATTGTCCGCAACCGGCAAGATCTCGCGCACCTCCGCCGGTGCCCAAAAATAAACATTTAAATCTCCGGTAAAAGAGTCAAAGGCGATCCTCTGAAGAGTCCGGGTGTTTTCTTGAACTTAAAAAGCCGAAGGGGGCTTTTAAAGGAGGCATGGATTCAATCCACAAGCCGACCCAAAACGGCAGCGGCTGCTAACGTTAATATGTTCCGACGCGCCGGTGTGCGTTTGTGACCGCGCGGAGAAAAAGACGCGTTCAACAGATTTAACGGAACCGCAGTGGAGTCTCCAACATAAGCACACGGCGTGTGGTGCTGCTGGAGAGCCTTGTAGTGTGTGTGTGTATTGGTCCGTGAAAAAGCAGGCGTGGATCCTTACAGGATTCTGGATTTTTTTTTTTGGCCCGGGAAAGTCAAAAATCACGGCGTGTGGGTGCGTGATGCGCATGCGCACATCTGGAAGCCAACGAGCAGGCTACTAGGAATCCCTTGTAATTCTCTGTATGCAAATATGATGTAAAACAAGCGAAACAGATCTGGCGGTCTCAGTGTAAACCAAACTTTCCTTATTTTATAAATGACTTCGAGTTAAATGTAAATCTTTTAGAACAATCACAAAACATAAAATCATGTTGCCAAACATGTAATGCCCTGAAAACATTTAAATGTATGTAAATGTCTATTTTTCATATTTTATCAGTCAGAAAAATTTTTAAACATGAAATACCTCTTGTTCTTGTAGTGTTGAATTAAAAAAGTGAAAAGATAATGACCATAGATCTGAATCTACTGCTGATTTATAGTAGAGAAGTACATATATCCAAATCCAGAACCAAAACATGCTTTATTTTCAATCTATGAAGTATTGTCTCCCATCAGGGAAGCGATACAGAGTTCCTTTGTGTAAAAGTAATCATTACAAGAAGTCTATTATACCAGTGTCCATTAGCAGTTTAAAATGGCAAACTACCCTGAAGGTCTCTTAAATCTCATTGTTGTTGGTAAATGTTACATGCTGTCTTTTTGTATGTATACTGAGTTTAAGACAAGTGTGCTGTGTGAGTCTAATATACATTTCCTGAAAAGGACAATAAAGTGCAACTCACCTCAATATAGATCAGTGGATTCGACTCATAAATCGAAAATGAAGATAAATTGCAATATACATGTATTTTATGATTAAACTGCTGTATTTTGAAAATATCTACCATAATAAAACAAATAGTATGTACAGTCACGAGCCACTTTATCAGGTACAGCTTACTAGTACCGGGTTGGACCCCCTTTTGCATTAATCCATCGTGGCATTGATTCATCAATGTACTGGAAATATTCCTCAGAGATTTTGCTTCATATTGACATGATAGCATCACAAAGTTGCTGCAGATTTGTCGGCTGCACATCCATAATGTGAATTTCCTGTTCCACCACATCCCGAAGGTGCTCTATCGGATTGAGCTCTGGTGACTGTGGAGGCCATTTGAGTACAGTGAACTCATTGTCATGTTCAAGGAAGCAGTCTGAGATGATTCACGCTTTATGACATGATGTTTTATCCTGCTGGAAGTAGCCATCAGAAGATGAATACACTGTGGTCATAAAGGGATGGACATGGTCAGCAACAATACTCAGGTAGGCTGTGGCGTTGACATGATGCTCAACTGGTACAAATGGACCCAAAGTGTGCCAAGAAAATCTCCTCCACACCATTACACCACCACCAGCAGCCTGAACTGTTGATACAAGGCAGGATGGATCCATGCTTTCATGTTGTTGATGCCAAATTCTGACCCGAGCATCTGAATGTGTCAGCAGAAATGGAGACTCATCAGAGCAGGCAACGTTTCTCCAGTCTTCTATTGTCCAGTTTTGGTGAGTCTGTGTGAATTGTCGCCTCAGTTTCCTGTTCTTAGCTGACAGGAGCGGCACCCGGTGTGGTCTTCTGCTGCTGTAGCCCATCCGCCTCAAGGTTGGACGTGTTGTGTGTTCAGAGATGCTCTTCTGCAGACCTCGGTTGTATCGAGTGCTTATTTGAGTTACTGTTGCCTTTCTATCAGCTGGAACCAGTCTGGCCATTCTCCTCTGACATCAGGCATCAACAAGGCATTTGAACTGCCGCTCACTGGATATTTTCTCTTTTTCTGACCATTCTCTGTAAACCCTAGACATGGTTGTGCGTGAAAATCCCAGCAGATCAGCAGTTTCTGAAATACTCAGAGCAGCCCATCTGGCACCAACAACCACGCCACATTCAAAGTCACTTAAAACTCTTTCTTCCCCATTCTGATGCTCGGTTCAAACTGCAGCAGATCGTCTTGACCGTGTCAACATGCCTAAATGCATTGAGCTGCTGCCATGTGATTGGCTGATTAGAAATTTGCAATAACAAGCAGTTAGACAGATGTACCTAATAAAGTGGCTGGTGATTGTAATATATATATATATATATATATATATATATATATATATATATATATATATATATATATATTTATATATATATATATACTACATAGACCAGGAGTATAAATTTACATCATTAACTGACCAATTAACAGACATAGTGCATCAAACATCTTTTCAGCTTTTTTATATTATGTTAAGTAGGAACCATTCATTTATTCACTTTTCGGCTTAGTCTCTTTATTAATTTGTGGTCGCCACAGCGGAATGAACCGCCAACTTATCTAGCATACGTTTTACGCAGCAGATGCCCTTCCAGCCGCAACCCACTCTCAAAAAGTAAAGTGAGGAATGAAAGTTTTAGAATTAACAGTATCTTGTTATCTTGTTATAACACACACTTGTAGGTAACCTTATGGGAAATTTCCCATAGGGAAAAGGATTTTTATAATGTACGAACTGTATATTCACTCCACCATACCCCTAAATACTTAATTCTATGTGATTTATGAGACATTCTTTTCTTATGAGAACCAAAAAAATGTACAGGTATTGCTATACTTGTAGGGACATTTGGTCTTCACAATGTAAGGAATACAAGCTACACACACAACACAATGCCACCATACAATACATTTCAATTTGTACTCCAGGGGCCTCATGTATCAACGCTGCGTACGCACAAAAACTTTGCGTACGCCAGGTTTCACGCTCAGAATCGCTCACGTTTGGATTTACTAACAATGAACTGAACGTGGGAATTTGCGCAGGTTCACGGCAGGTTTCTGGCAGGCGTACGCACATTTTTTGTGCGTGTCTGTTTTATTTCCATTGGCGACTCCTAGAGGCAGTTGTGTTAAATTCTTCTCTACAAAGTGTCTGATCCTTGCAATGGCAGCTGTATGAGACGGGTTCATATAGTAGGTATGTAAGATTTCCATACCATACAGTTGACCAGCTAAACATTAAAGCACAATTTGCAGCGGTCGCCTGTTTTCCCAATGTAATCTGAGCAATCTACCGCACGCACATTGCTATAAAGACACTATCTGAAGATGAATTTGCATGCGTGAATCAGAAACATTTCCATTCAATAAATGTGCAAATAAAATATGATGCACAAACTTATTGATGATTCCTACTTGTCTTTCTCGTGATAAATAGTGGGCAAAATCTGATATGTAGCGGGGAAAAAAAGAAGAAAGAGTTCATCTGACGCTGGATTCGAGCCGAGTTTATGCTAGAACGTGTCAGTACATGATCACATGCTTCTTATGAGGTGCGCCACTGAGACTGCTAAAAGTACTGCAACACTTTACAGATATAAACCACACTATTTCTTTTTTAAATGCACTCAGTGCGATGTTCAGACCCAACTGTGTTAACCGTACCAGCTAAACTCTCTCACTCTATTTTTTTCTTTTGTTGTTAATTCCGGAGAACAAACTTGTAAATAACACCGCTTTTCTCCGGTCTACCTCCGAAAGCAGCACCTCCAATTCACATTCTGTTCAAAGTTTCTCTTTTTGTTTGATTTTGCCATTGCTTTTTCGTTGGGTTTTCCATTAGCATAGTCATTAGCATATTCATACGGGGGAGGAGGCAGGGAGGGGTTTTGCGCTCGTGCATGTTGCGCTCAGTTTCACGTTCATTCGGATGTACAAAAGAATATACGTGAGATTCGGCGTACGCAGTGTTTCATACATCTGAATTTTTTTCTGCGTACGCACATTTACAGCTTTGTGCGTACGCAATGTTTTAGTAAGATTTCCACGCAAGTCTTCGTACATGAGACCCCAGGTCTCCTAGGAATAAAATCAGAAACGCCTGTCCAAAATAATCAGGTGAAGTGTTTGGGAAAGAGCTTGAGTGAATGGGTGTTGTGTGTATGATTAGCTACTTCTAGTGCCATCCGCTGGTTTGCATGCAGAATGGCACCTGAGGGCAAGCAACGTAATCAACCATGACTGGATGTTAGACAAGCAGCAATAAAACAAAGTGTGCACTAATGTCTGCAGACGTGTCCTCATTTACGCTCGCACAGAGAACGACCGAACAAGCGGCACATATTCCAGATCCATCATTCATCTATATATATTTAAGTTTAATTATATTTGGTGTGAAACCATGTCCTTGGTGGACTGCTGAGGGGTCGTATAACACTCACATGTGATTACTGCGGAGCTCAAGTGCCCTTGGGTCTTGAAATTCAGCGTTTAATCAAAGCCGGTAAAATAAAGATTGTGTATGATCACTATAGGAACAAAGAGATACCTGAAGTACTGAATGCGCTTGAACTGTCGGTCATAATGAAGACAGAGCTTCTTTAAAATTCCACACGACAGCCGTACAGCAAACTGACCAAAGCTGAGCTGACCGTGGGTCATTTATCAAACTTCTTTGTGCTTTTGAGGAGGAAACACAAGCTGTTGTTTCTCATCTTTGGTGGGCCGTGCATCTCCACCCAAGCCTGACCGTGGCAATTATTTCGGCGCTTTCTAGAAGCACAAGTGCTCATTCACTCGGGTCGGATGCTTCGTGCTATGAGAATTCATTCTGCAATAGTGAATAATGACAGTGAAAAGACTGAGAGTGGCCTGAAACGCAGGATAAACATGTGGAAACGCTTATTTATACATGCTGGAGAAGTTGTTTGCTTCAAGTGGAGACGGGTTTATAAGAGCTTTGGAAAAAATTCAGATTTAAATATATATATTTTTAATATTTGGCTCCTTTCTGTTCATGCATATGAAGGTTTTTGCACTGCAATTTGCCATTAAAATGCTGTTTTAATCAAATAATGTGTTATTTTATATATATTTTAGCATGTTTATTGTATAAATGTTTTGTTTAGAGCAGAAAAGAATGATCATACATTTTTACTGTGATATACAAATACGATATATACTGTTTTTGTCACAAAATCTTGTCTTGCAGCTGTCCGTGATAAGTTTTTAATGATTTAAAATA